CATGAGCTATGAAGTTCAGTAAGCATAAGTTATAACATAAAGCTGTAAGTGAGCTTTGAGTCAAATTAACAAGAACAATCAAATAATCCATGTTAAAACTTATAACCAGAATCCAAAAAAGATAGATTATGAAGGTGGCGGGCATAGCTTAACCATATAGATCAAATCTCTTAGATAGGTTCTTCATAAATTCAACACTAAATCATTAACTTCAAACACATACAATAAATAAAATCAGATTACCAAACAATTTAGAGAAACAAACAATCAGAGAGTCTATGAGTCCACTTAACAATCTGTGGTGCACTTCACATTAAAGGCAGATTGCCAACCATAGCCTCCCTATTGCATACAGGTCCAATCAATCAAAGTTGCTCAACTTGGAACCCAAACAATTAATTAGCAGTTAGCATAGGTTGCAACCCTCTATAGACTCAAAACAATAGTATAAAGCACATAGAAAAAGCTATAATAATCATGGTCTGACGAAATAGATATCAAACACCAAGTCTCACAAAATACATAGACAGAAGCCCTTTCTCTTCCTTTGGTTTCTAGTTTAGAAATTATGCAAATACAACTACTTAATGCTCACATGCAAATGTAAACTGTTTGGATGTTTGCCATATGTCATTACCACCCCAAATAGATTTGACAGTTGTATTCCGTTATAAAAATTTCTAAAAATTTACATGCAAACCTGAAACTTTGTTTTTATGCAAGTTAAATCTAACAATTAAGAATAGAAACTTATGAACTGTACAATTAAGGGTAGGATCATTACATTCATTCCACCCAAAAATACACTATTTATGCATCATTTTCAATTCAAGTAGCAATAAGAGGGTATTTGGTTTCCATGTGAAAAATACACTTAATATTTTTAATAATTTTTTTTCTTTTTTATATATAAAATCACAAGATCTTATTTTATTAAATTTTATTTCTTTTTAGATCATCCCTCAATTGGAGAAACTATCATTAACAAGAGATGACATTGCAATGATATGTGAGCATGAGTCTAAACAAGATATCCTTTTCAATGGCAAAGTTCTTCAAATTCAGGACTATCTTGATGATGAATTAGATGTTTTACCTGTTGGATTCCTAAAAAGGTTCTGCCATCTAGAAAATCTCATTGTGAGCTATTGTAATTTTAAAGAGTTGTTCCCTTCAAAAGGAGAAGTTGAAGAACAAGAGAAACACATTGAGATTGAGACACTCTCAAGGATTAAAACATTAAATCTGAAGTGCCTTCCATATCTCAGGCATATATGGAGCCATGACTCACCGAGTGTCCTTCAAAATCTTGAAACTCTTGATATATTCAAATGTGATAGTTTGATTATATTATCAACTTCAATTTCATCTTTCCAGAATCTCACCACTTTGAACGTAACAAGTTGCAAAGGGATGATAAATCTGGTTTCAGTCTCAACAGCACAAAGTTTGGTGCAGCTAGAAAGTATAACTGTGGAGAGCTGCCACATGTTGACTAAAATAGTTGGAAGTGAAGGAGATGGAATGCAAGATTATATCATGATCACTTTTGCTAAACTAAAATTTTTGACACTTCAACAGTTGCCAAGACTAGAAAGCTTTTGTTCAGAAAATTTCACCTTCAAATTCCCATGTTTAAAACAAGTAACTGTAAAGCAATGCCCCAAGTTGAAGATCTTCAGTGAGGGAGAGCTAGATACACCATTGTTATGGAGAGTAATAATTAAAGAAGAGGACAAGTACCGTTGGGAAGATGACCTTAATACCACCATACAAAGAACGTACATGGAAGAGGTATGAATTGATTTCTAAATATTTGAAGCCATTCATTCTTTTTATAAAAAAATTGTTTGCTTTATTTTTGGATTGTGTTATATACATAACTGCCCTTGCTTTTTTGCACTTGCGTAGGTTGGATTTGCTGGGTTACAACTTTTGATGCTATCAGATTTTCCTAAGTTCATGGAAACATGGTATATTAAGAATCCTCAAGGACTCTTAGATTTCAGACTGCTTCAGGTGCTAGAAATTTGTAATTGTAGCAAATTCAGGTACCTCTTAACCCATTCCATGGCCATGGGCCTAGTGCAACTCTTGCAGTTAATAGTAAAAAACTGTGGGACAATGGAACAAGTGATAATGGGAGAAGGAGCAGAAAATAAAATGGAATTCTCACATCTTTCTTTGATCAATCTAGAGTCTTGTTTGGATTTGACAAGTTTCTATGTGGGAAGTCATAGTCTTGAGCTTCCAAGCTTAAATGATTTTATTGTAAAGGACTGCCCAAAGATGGTCACATGTGCTGCTTCTACATCCTCAGAAGAGCACGACAAAGAGGAATCTCAATACCTCTTTAGCAGTAAGGTCAGTTTCTTTTCTTCTTTTCCATTTTTCTTTGTTTTTACAGCAACATGGTTAGTTTTATATATTTATTTATTGTAATTAAGATTTTACAGTATATTTATCGTTGCTTTTCGCTTGTCAATGTTGCCATCTCCACTTCCTTAGCTTCATGAATGAATCTCCTTAAACAAATTCCACTTAATACACCATTAGAAAACAAAGACTCCTGGCTAGAACAACCACTTAAAATGTGAAGTTACTCAAGTTTTAAGGTAGGATTATTGATCCAAATAACATTTTTTCCCTTTTTTGTCCGCATTGACCCAAATAACGTTAAGTCCAAAAAGAGTTCACTGTTTTCTACTCAAAATAACAGTGTACTTCACATAATTGCACGTTGTCTTCGTGTTCTTGGTTTGATATTATCCTTGTAATGTTTTTAGTTTAATCAATTAAAAAAACAAAAACTTTTTGATGAAAATTCTGTTAGGTTGACTTTCTCAACATGGAGTTTTTAAAATTTCTAAAGTTAACATTAAGCAAATATGATAGAGTCATCTTCCTACAATGTCTTGTATTAACAGACTAACTATGAGTCTTTGCAGGTGGAGACTCCCAACTTGGAGTTTTTGAGTCTGTCTTCAAATAACATTCAACAAATTTTGGACAATTCGATTCCAAAAATATCTTCTTATGTCCAAAATTTAAGAAAGTTGTCTGTGGAGGGTTGTGGTAATTTGAAAAATCTATTGATGTCCTCCATGGTTAAGAGTTTTGAGCAATTGAATTGGCTTGAGATTCGGGATTGTCATATGATGGAAGAGATAATACTTGTAGAAGAATCAGTGGATGAGGAAAGGATGTGCAAGATTTTCTTCCCTGACTTGGAGTTCCTACTACTCCAAGACCTTCCAAAACTCACAAGATTTTGTTCTGGAAATTACTTGGAATTACCATGCCTTTGGAAACTTAAGATAAGCAAGTGTCCTGTGCTGAAGACTTTCATCTCTAGCTTTATTTTTGGAGACATGGTAGCTAGTTCTGATAAGGTCAAAAACACTTGTGCACTTTCTCTGTTCGACGCAAAGGTGATTTCTCTTTTTTTTTCCCTTTATATTTTTCTTTTTAATGTCTTATAATGCTATTATTATTTTCTCGTCCTCATAAAGTTTTACATTTTAAAAAATTAGATTCCAATATTTTTCATTCTATTACATCTATGATTATGTTTAATTTTAATTGAATTATGTAAATCTCTAGGTGGCATTTCCCAAATTAGAGCGTTTGATCATTGAACATGTGAAGAGCTTGAATAAGATATGGAATGACCGACTCGAAGTAAATTCTTTTTGCCAACTAACTTTGGTGAGTGTGGTTTCATGCGAAAAGTTAATGAATATTTTCCCATTTAGTATGGTGGAAAGGCTTCAGAGACTAGACAAACTCCAAATATGGAACTGTGATTCACTTGAAGAGATACTTGAGTCTCAAGAACCTGGTATTAGTCAATCGCAAGCTCAAAAGGCCACTCTGCTGCCTTTGTTGGAAACCGTCACATGCTTGGAGGATGATGTGAAGGATGAGATTGTCTTTAGCAAACTCAAGTATTTGCAACTTTGTGGTTTGCCTAGACTTTCAAGCTTTTGCTCTGTTAAAT